TCTCTAATCGGTTGATCTAAATTAGCTTGATAAAATTTTGACAATACCGCAAACTCTTTATTATTTAAAGTATAATTTTGACTTGGTGCCCAAAGTTCTTCTCCACCATCTTCAATCCAAACAACTTGTTGCATATAATACTGTTTTGATGGTTGTGATGGAAAAATTTGTGTATATATAGTTGGTAAAAAGCGAAGATGATTAAAATAATCAAGTAATAAAATATTATTCATTAAATTTTTATATGGATGTAAATTGGATCGAATCATAGGTTGTAGTATTCCACATAATCGTTCTATTGGATATTGCCAATATACCCAACATGGTCCACAATTTTCAATACAAGCTTGTATATGAAGCAAATAATGAAAGGTAATTTTAAAGGCTGGTAAGCGTTTTATGTCTTTACCAACATATAGTCTAAATAGATATATTATAAAGTATAATAAACTTGGTAAGAAATTTAAAAATTAATTGTATATTTTAAAGCTATTTAATATTTAAATAATATTTCAAATTAATAGCATTTAAAATATTTAATTAATAAAAATAAATTATTATATATAATACCTAGTATATAGCTCAAAAATTTTTGAAAATTTTCACCTAAATTATATAGTTGTTCTCGAGTGATTGATTTTTTAATAGCTATTTGAGCAGCTTCAACAAACAAATACCAATGATCTACAAATCTATATAATAAAAAGTTAATTATATAATTATTAATTAAATTAAAATTTAAAAATTACCTTTTATCATGAAATTGTTGTAATAAAGCGATTGAATATAAACAAGTCCAGTACCCAATCTTCTGCTTTAAATGAATTTGAATATTTAGTAATATTTAATGGGGGTCATCCAAATTTAGATGGCATTGTTTTTTTATTAGCTTCTATACTATTACTAATATTTTTCCATATAGCTTTAGATAAAGTTTGTGAGTTGTTTACTGAACTATTTAAAGATTTATCAGTATAAAATGTTCCTGACCAATGTTTGTACATATGCATTGCAGCACCTTCAAATACTAAATGCATAATATCCAAAGGAAAAGAAATAGGAAACTGAATAGCTTTTAATTTAAAAAGAATACATTCTCCAGTTATACCTATAAATAAATAAATATATTAAATATTATTAAATAAACTTTAATAATTTATTATTAAATTATTTATACATACCAGTTTCTTGTTGAATTTTTTTTTTATTAGTTGCAGACTTCCAAATAAAAACCTTATTTAAATAAGATTCATGATTACGTAGAGAAAGGTTTTTATATTATATGATTGTTCTCCTTTTTTTGTAGGATTGTTTAATGGATAATATACATGATTTACACCTGAATTTGTATCAGTTACTCCTTTTATATCACAAAATCTACATCCCATATATCCATTATGTCCAACAAGATGTGTTAGTTTGCTAATTGCTGGTATATCTCCACACCAAATTGGAACAAAAACATGTAAAATAAAGTTTTCTTGTTTTCAACCATCCCAGCATAATACTCTATCTAAAAAAATAAAATTAATAATTATTTATAAAATAAATCAAAAATATTTAATATAATATAAAATACCTTCAAGTTTTTTTAATTCATTAACTATAGGATATAAAAAACTATCAAAGTCTTTTGGGCTTTTTGTTTCAGGAATTATTGCTGAGATTAATAAATTTTCTTGCTTAACACGATCTTCTGGTGGTATATTATTGTTTATAAACATAATCACCCAATTATCATCTCGTTGTTGACGAAAAATCTGATATCCATCTAAGCTTCCAGATAGTATTATATCGCGTTCATCTTTTATTAATCCTTTAGACAATAAACTTTTATATAATTGCCCATCAAAAATATCATTAAATTCATTAACATTAAGTTTATAATTTGAGCAGTATCTAAAAGTTTTTGATCTTTCAGAATTGGCATATTGAAATCTTAAGCGAGAAGTTAATGGATAATAAGCAGCTACTTTATTTGCTATATTATCCTTTTGAAATCGTGCTGATAAACATATAGGACATTGTATTGCATCTTTATACTTATCAGTAAATGCTATACAAGAATTAATGCACATATCTATAAATAATACATCGATATCAACTAATTTTTGAAGAATTTTTTTTGTTGAGTATAAAGTTGGTCCATTACAATCAAAAATTTGTAAAATTTCTTCAAAGTTATTATTGGATATATATGTGTTTTTTGCTTTTAAATATAATAATCGTAAAGCTTTAGATATATTTGAAAAGTCTAAATAATTTAATTAAATAATAGTTTTAATATACGTATATAACTTAAATACTAAATTCAATTTACAAAAGTTAATTATAGTTTATTTATTTACCCTCAATATTTTGAACCAATTTATCTATATTATTTGACTATTTAAATTCTAATTCTTCATCACTATAGTTATCCAATTCTTCACTACTATAATTATCCAATTCTTCATATGTATTAAATTCTAACTCTTTATACTCCTCTAATTCTTGATATGGCTTAGACTTAAATATTCTATCTTCGCCTTTTTTATAGTTTGTTGATTTGTTAATTCTTTTTGGCTTAAAATATGTTTTTCCAATAATAACACCATTTTTATCATATAAACTTTTTTCTGCTTTTTTATGTTGATGTACAACTCATTTACTAAGCCTCCGACCTTGTATATTAATCATCAAACAGGTTTTACATTTACAAATTTCTTTTTGGTCAATCATTACTATAGTAAGTATTTTTATTGTTTCGTTTAAGTATCAAATTAAAAATTAAATAACTTATATATTTAAAGTATATTAAAAATTTAAATATGTGTAACATCAAAAAAATTTAAATTAACCAATTAAAATAATAACTTATATATTTAAAGTATATTAAAAATTTAAATACGCGTAACATTAAAAAATTTAAATTAACCAATTAAAATTAAATAATCTTACTAATACAATTTTTTTGTGAACTACATAAATAGCTTTTACGCATTTTTGTTTATACTATTTTGTTTTTGAATTTTTAGCAATAATGGCTTCTTCTATTTCTTACACATACTTGTTTCAAAAAATTACTGATTGTGAACTGCCAAGTAAAGAAACTTTAGATATATTATCAGCAAGTCAACAAATAGAAATTTTAAAACTATGCTATGATGCACAAAAAAATTTACTTAATAAGCTACTTGAAAAAAAAAAAATAAAAAAATGCTGATATAGAAATTCCAACTATACAACCTTCTAAAAGAAACAGAACACAGTCATCAAAATTAAAACTATCAGCACTTTGTTCTTGGTTACCAAAGGATTATTTTGCAAAAATTAAAGCTGATTTTACTCCACATTTTGAAGAAAACCAAATTAAAGAATCAGTAACATGGTTACAATTAGGATATACAGCAAGAGAAAGTTGGATCGATGATGTAGGTTAAATATTATTATAATAAAAAATAGAGTTTTTGGTTTTAAAATAACCTTATAAACTATAGTAATTTTTATTTTATATTCTATATATTTGTAAAATTTAACTTATATTCACAATTTATTTATAAAAAATTAAATTTTCTTAATTATAATTAGGTATATAATAAACATAGATTTCAAATTGGTTCGAATAAATGGGTTGTTAGCAAATGTTTAAAACAAAAATTAAATGATAGAGGTAAATTTTCATATTTTATATAGTGTAATTTATTAAATATTATTTATTATATGTATAAAAATTTTTAACAATTAGCTGATAATTTTAGAAAAAAAATAAAGTAAAATCAAGAATTATGCAAACTTTAATTAGTGATAATGAACTAGAATCACCACAACGAATTGCCAAAGAAGTATTTCATATTAATAAAGAAAATACAAGTTATAGATTTGAAACAGAATCAAATAAATTTTGTGAAGGTATGTTTTATATTATATAGCAATTTAATTTAATTAAATATTATTAATATTAAGTTAATTTTAATTAGGTGATGATGATAATTTGGCGCAAGATAATCATGAAAACTATATGAATTATTCTAACACTTATACTACTTCTGGTTTAAACAATTATACTCTTTCTACTTCAAGTGGTGGTGTAATTTCTGATGAATATAATAATCCTACCTTCAATAGCTATATTGGCTCTGCTCCCGATAGTGAAGCTAATGAAAGTCATATAATTCAAAATTCTAGAAGTATTAAACTAAATTTTAAATTAATAAATTAAATTTTAACTTTATATTTATTTTATTTATACTGTTATATATATCTTAAAACAAAATATAGTTAAACAAACTACAGATAGAATAAGCAACAGAACACGACAAAAAATTAATTATCCAATTTCCGAAAATAGTGGCTTACCTACTCCTAATAGCGATAGTGAAGAAGCAGATGAAAATGCTATATCTCAGAATTCTAAAGGTATTAACTAAATGTCTAAAATTGATAAATTACATCTTAATTAATATATTTTTTTTATATATGGTGCAGGAAATCTATACTCAACAGTTACACAAAGTGTTTCAATTTTTTAAATGGTTATAACTTTTTATCTAAG